AATATTTACTGGATGACTGTATTTCCCATCTGGCGACACAAAGTTCAAGGATTTATAACATACAAACATAAAAATTTACTCTTAAAATGAAGGAAAGAAATGAAAACCCACAAACAAAAGGAGCTTAAGGCAAAAAATGAAGTAAACAAAGAAACCATTAACACATAAAGACAATATTTATTCTACATCCCACTTTGAGGAGTAGTGATTGGAGTCTTCAAAGCTCATGAGCAACCCTTCCTCTCCAGAGCAAAGAACAGTGATGACAATCAAAGACTCAAGGAAACAATGAGCGCCTACCTTCTAAATAAAACGCTTGGTGAATTAAGGGTTCAATATCTTGAGCTAACTTTTAAATCTTTGTGTAAATTCAACTTTGGGAAGACAGAAGCAGATTCTGCTGATGGTGATGGTGATCGAAAGGCTAAATATATAGAGGTGTTCTTTGAAAGACATAGCGCTGCTGGCAGGAAAGCCGAGACGGCACGAGAGCAGTGTCCCCGGTTTCCAGGCTACTTGCAATGGGAGCACTCCCTTCCTGTGTCTGTTTTCCGTGTTGAGGTGGTCTGTTGGATCTGTTCTTCTGTTGTATTAAACCTAAAACATCTTGCTCCTCTCCTTTCCGGCTCCTCTGGTCAGAGGGACTGTCTTTTATCTTCTCGGAATTTCATTTCAGTCCTCTAATCTATTTGATATCTTAGGCCATTTTAAAAGTGTTTATTTTTACTTAAGTGATGGTTTACAAAGCAAATCACAGTTTTATATTCAATAATTCATTTATTTTGGTTCAACCGCTCCACGGTAATCCCCTCAATGTACTTTTGCTTATCCAACTTCCTCCCTGTTTCTGTTCTTCATTCTTTTCTAACCCTCTGAATTTTGTCTTTGGGTTACGGTTCCCTTTTGATTTTAAATAGTTGATTTTCTTTTTCTTTTTTAAAATCATTTTATTAGGGGCTTATACAACTCTTATCACAATCCATACACACATCAATTGTGTAAAGCGCATCTGTACATTCATTGCCCTCATCATTCTCAAAACATTTCCTCTTCACTTAACCCCCGGCATTAGGTCCTCATTTTTCCCCTCCCTCCCCACTCCCCCCTCCCTCATGAGCCCTTGATAGTTTATAAATTGCTATTTTGTCATAT